TATATATGTGTGTGTGTAAGTGTGTGTGTGTGTATGCGCGCGCGTGTGTGTATGTGTTTGCAGTACGTATATAACTAATATGTATATAACAGTAGAGATATAAGCATATATATTGAGAGGTAACACATAAACACCATAACTCAATGCCTTCTATTGATGTGCAGGCTACAGGCCTACCAATAGAAGTTCCACCCACAGATGTGCAGCCTACGGGAAGGATGAAGGGGAAGCGTCGTTCCCCAGAAAAGGTCCAGGGTGATAGAGAAGAGAGATAACGCAAGACGAAGAAGAGGGCGGAGGAGAAAGACATGCGAACGAAAATGGCATTGTTAGATGCAGCTGCTAAGGAGAAGAGAAGAAAGGCCGAGGCTTCAGATAGACAACAGAGGCGATCAATGATGGAGGGAATAGCATTTCAAATGAGAGAATCACCTAATGTTGAATCTAGTTCATCTCCAGAAGCTTCTAATAACACACAAGAAGAAGGTACTGGTGTTTTTAATCGACGAACCAAACAATACCCTCTTTCGACCTTGAATCCTGAACAAGTAAAGGAACGTGTTAGTAAATTTGGTCATTTAAAATCTATAAGCTATGTGCAAGATGAAGAAATGAATAAGCTTAGATGCGACAATGGCGGCCATAGATGGCATTTATGGGGTGTACCCGACGATATAGTATGTGGATCAGTGAAGACTGGTACACTATATACACGTCCACGTAGACATGCCAGAGTTTGTGCAATAGTCGGCTGTGCAAGAGAAACAAGGAAGATGTGCGTGCGCTGTCGCGTGAGGTTATGCAAGGAATTAATTCAAGGCAGAAACTATAACTGCTACCAGCTCTTCCATACGCCATCCTTCAAAGGCGATATAGATGAGCGGTGCTGCGAAAAATAACTTCTATTTAACTGGATCGCACGTGCAACCAGCGCAACCAAATTTGAATTTCGAGAAGCAACAACCAACCTTCGTTCCAACGAAGGTTGGTTGTTCACACACTAATCTTCTGTAGCGATCTCCGGATCCACAACTCGGTCAGCAGGGTGCGTGCCATTTGTTTTGACACTCCATACAGATACTGACCTCATCCTGCGGAAGCTTTCGTACATGACAACGTTCACAAGATAAGTCGTCTGTGATCCAGTGTCTTGGATTTGGTTCTTTTGGTTTGGTCGCCATTCTAACAAAGGTGTGGTGTGGCAACAGCGTCGTAGCCTAAATTATCATTTTTCCGTTCGCTTTTTGATTTTTATAAAAATTATCGGAGCTGATATTTCTAAATCCAGCTTGGATCGGAACGTGTTTGCTCTGCCCCTGATTATTGATACATTAAATCCAAAATTAGTAAGGTATTGGCTGCAATCAGAATTAAAGATTGTTATTCCAAATTTTCCACCAATAAAAACTTGTATTTAATTTTCGATTTAGAAAAAGTGTAATCCGGACAGTATCCGGATTTTAGTATGACTCATTATGTGCTGGGACTCACTACCCATTGTCAACCTCTATCGACACTCTCCCACTCCCTTCCGTATATAATGTACGTCGTCCAAATACTTTCAACTCGTACTTAAAATATCAACAATATCACCTGTTCACAACGCACGAATTCTTTATCAAAATGAGGGAACCCCAAGAGTTGAAGGCTTGTTTCCCCAATCCACAAAACCCAGAGCTATCTATGCAGAGTGTCGTGGCGGACAATGCAGACTGGGGTTCTTCCGCTCACCGCTTTCCAGGCTACGTAGATGGCAAGGCTACTTGGCTAGCATAATTATTAATTGACATACCAGGCCGCACTACAACGTATCAGACCTTCCAGACCACCGTTGCTAACAACAAGGACCGCCCTTATTTGGGTGAGCGCACTGTGGTGCAGAATGAGGATGGCAGCACAACCACTGGTGACTACAAATTTATATCTTTCAAGGAGGCTGATGAGACTGCCACTCACATTGGCTCTGCTCTGAAGTCATTGGGCGTTGCCAGGAATACGCCAAGAATCGAGCAGAATGGACATTGACGGATCATGCTCTTTCGTCATACACGCTACCAACTGTTGCCATTTATACTACACTTGGTCCTACATCTGTCCACTATGTGATGGAACATAGCGAGATGGTTGCAGCATTCTTCGAAAAGATTCGTCTTGAATCTGTCCTTGAAGCGATCGCAAAGGGACTTCCAAACCTCAAGTACGCTATTTGCTTCGATGAAATAACATCTGAAGATAAGGCTAAGTTTTCGGACGCCGGCGTTACGCTATTTTTTCTAAAAGAACTGTTGGATTTGGGTGCGAAGAATGTAGCTGAACATGACCCCCTACTGCAGGCGATGTAGCGGTACCTATGTACACCTCAGGTATCACAGGAAAGCCTAAAGGAGTGCAAATTACCCACAGGTGCATGATGTCGGAAGTTGTATCATTGAAGAGGCGCGTCCATATTGGCAACTAGGACATACACTTCTCGTTCCTGCCGTTGGCTCATATCTTCGAACGGGTGATCCAGGCTGTGTGTATTGATCAGGGGTGCTGTATTGGATTCTACATAAGAAAACTACCAGAGCTGGTGTTTGACATCCAGGCTTTGAGGCCAACATTATTCACTGCTGTACCGCGTATCCTGTCCCGTATATACGATAAGATCAGACAGAGGTAAAGGCTGGCGGTCCCGAGAAGGAGGCAGCTTTCGAGGGTGCGTACAACATGCGTCTCGCAGCTCTCATGCGCGGTGAGGACACCCCGGTACTCAATGAAAAGGTCTTCGATCGAATGAGCATGGCTCTAGGAGGCCGTGTCAAGTGGATTCTGACTGGTTCAGCACCCCTTGGAGTAGCTATTCACGAGTTCCTGCGTGTCTGTGTGTGCCCTGTCATCTTGATCGGCTATGGTTTGACTGAGACGACGGCTGGTGCCGCAGCCGCTCACTACAACGATATGAAGCTAGGCCATGTAGGAGCCCCGCTGGAGTCGAATGAAATCAAGCTGGTCAGCATCCCTGACATGGAACTATCTCACCACCGATGAACTACTCCGCGGTGAGGTATGTGAACGAGGAACTAACATATTTGGATCTTACTTGCAAAACCCTGAACAGACGAAAGAAGCTATCGATGAGGAAGGTTGGTTCCACACTGGCGATGTAGGCCGATGGAATCCCGACGGTACTTTATCGATCATTGATCGCCAGAAGTCCATCTTCAAGCTTTCTCAGGGCGAGTACCTTGCTGCTGAGAATCTGGAGGCCATGTACGGAAAGTGCGATCACGTTGCGCAGGTGTTTGTAACCGGCGACTCATTTCACGCGTACCCTGTGGCCGTCGTGGTGCCTGACCATGAACTGATTCTTGCGTGGGCTAAGGCGAACAATGTCCATGGTGATGTTGCAAGCATTGCCAAATCCGCCGAGTTGAACGCTTTGCTGACCTCGGAACTCGAGGCGATGCACAAGGAGAGCAAGTTAAACGGATTCGAGAAGCTCAAAGACTTCATTGTTGAGCCAGAGTTGTTCAGTATCGACAATGAGTTGCTCACACCCACTTTCAAACTGAAGCGTTTGAATGCCACCAAGAAGTACCAAGGCCAGATCGCACAATTGTACGATGAGATCGAAAACGTCTCCGATCTAAGCAAGACAACTATTTAAACCGAAGGTAATACTTTCCGACATCTTCTCAGGGTGGGTTGAAAAATTAAGCTCAGCTCCTCTGTTGCACACACCTATAGTATTGGGTAGTCCGATGCGTGAACACACACATGCTTGTATTAAAATGAAAATTCTACGTCACTCAATAAAATTTTATGTCAAGTATGAGCATATGCAAACTTCACAATATGAAACCCTCGGATAGGTGTGGTGCCCTTGCAACTCTTAAGAATTTGGCCACCTTCTCGTGCGGTTCTGTCACAATGTGTCAAACCCGCCGGGTTTCATAAAGGACTTCAATTTACATCTGATCCCAACCGTAACGCATATATTTATGCAAGGCACATTGACGCATTGAGCGGCTTAGGCTAACACTCTAGAACCCTAAAACACGAGTGAACAGAATTGACATTTGACAGTGTAGCGCGCGACATAGAAACAGCTTCGTCCGATCCAATGAAATCAAGTCGTGGAAATCACACCCATGTAAATAGATCATGCGTCTTTAATCCAACTTTATGCGAGCATCATATCTCTCATTGCAGGAGACGCTCCACAGCGGCATTGACGTTTCCGCCAGTCGCCTATGCATGCATTCAGATGTCAAAGTAGACAAAAAGGTAGAAGCGTAAGCTTATCGGTATATGGTGCCATATAAGTAACCACATACGTTTGTGTACACATGAACGATAGAGACATGTGTCTGAAATACATACTTATATATATATATATAGAAAATCGACGTTGTTGGAAGCCCGTATTAGAAACAATAGAAGCATCATCTATATATAATTACAAAGCCATAGTGCAATCGCAAACCAATCCGCCACGCGTGCGACACGGTTCTAGCCACAACCAGGTGGGTGAATCAATTGACACACTACGTGTTTATCATGCACTGTCTATAAGTAGGCAGGATATAGGTAGGTAAATATTGACACACTAGTGTAAATCATTCCCTGTCTATAGGTAGGCAGGATATAGGTAGGTAAATTAATTGACACACTAGTGTAAATCATTCACTGTCTATAAGTAGGCAGGATGTATTCCTTCCAGGAAAGTAGAGACCGACCATTGGAACGTGTATATCAGTATTTATGTTCAAATTATCGCAACCAACTATCTACCGTTGCCATACCGTCCTCTACAAAACCAGATATGGCAAATGAAGCAGATCAGCTTCTACTAATTTTGTTTCTATATATATATATATATAATATAATATATATACAGATGTATAGAGAAGGACATACATACATATAAACATATACAATCATAGATACTTACAATATATATGATATAATAATATAACAATATACAACAATATATATACATATACATATGTATCACATGTACGTCGATCCAGAAGCCGTTCCGACAATGAATATATATTGCTTAGTAATGAGACATAGAAGCAATGTAAACCGAGGAACTCACCGTCAGCGCGTTGATATTTGTTTCCTCATCGTAAAAGCCCATGTCTTGTAATTGTGTTAATTGTGTAGCGAATCTTTCGGCAGGCGGTCGAGCGTCCGCAGGCGCAGCTGAAGCCTGGGATACACGCGAACCAATAACAGTTTAAATCAGCCCTCCATACAATTAAAACCAGACGAAGCCTGAAAGGCATTCGACATCCATACAAAAACCTAATTGCATTTGTGGTATGTGATGGGCAATGAACGAGCGGATATGGTGAAATGACAGCTATTGTCCTACAGTGTACAGTACAGCCAAGTATCAGGTAGCGGAGAACTAAACAACTGGGCTATGCACAGTACAAACGGGAAGCAAGTGATACGGTTCCGACTACCACAGAAGTGCAATCGACACGGGACCACAAGCCCTACAGATGGCACCTACTTCACCCCCCCCACCCCCGAAAAAAAAAGAAAGGAGGGTGCACCTGAAATAAATGAAGTTGGGACCGGCTAAATCAAGTCAGGTGCACATGTCTTCCACTAGTTATTAACGTCGCATTTCTCTTTCGTTCTCGGTGATTATTGTCATTCAGAACGTGTACTTGCGGACATATATCTCCAGCGTAACTAATCCATGTAGTCTGATGGTCTGTATACCAACTGATCTGGTTTTGCTGTCTAAATGGTACATCTCACATACCCCCATTCCCCCCATGCCGGCGAACGCGTTCATCAGCGCTGCATTCTGAGCCGTTGAGCCAGTATCTCCTGCGCCAGCACCGGCCATACCAGGCATACCTAATGAATGAAGTCCAAATCGGCAGAAAAAATGGGTCAGTTTGGGATTGGGCGGAGTGCACATTTTGGATCGGACGTGAAGGTTTGGTCTGGCTAAACCCTGAAGATTGAGAATGGAAAAGGGATTAATTCGCGATTGGATACAGCTCTGAAGTGCAAGATACAGGTATGATAGACTCGGTAGACCCACAGCTCGAAGAAGGAACTATTAGCGCAGAAGCAGGGGGCCGAGTGCGCAGGATGGGTTATCGGTTCTATCTGTTCGGAAATTGGTTAAAAGCCACACTTCACTATTGAATGCCGAATGCCGGCTGTGCTGTGTAGCGCCATCTGTGATGACAAAGCCAAACCACACAGCTTTTATACCTGCCAGGGCATGCACAGACCAATATATATACATGTATGAAGGTGTACACAAACCCAAATATGTATATGCACGAAAGTGTGCACAAACCCATTTATACACGTGTACAAAGGTGTACACAGACACAAACACATGCACATACGAAGGTCGGGTATATGTATCCGTCCATAGAACACACCTGCCCCACTCTGCTGCATTATGGCGTTGAGAGTGGTTGGGTTGAACATCATGGCGGTTGCCTCGGGGTCGTTTAGTATAGCTCTGAGCATAGGATTATTCTGCACCATGGGGTTCTGAGTCATGGTTTCTCTAAACCGTGGGTCTTGCATTGCCTGGGTTACAGTTATAGGGATGTGAATCACACACAGACGTAAGTGTGCTGTGGATAATAGTGAGGCAGAGTGGATTGTGTACTTGAAAGTTCGTAACTGTATAAAGTGTATAGGTGTGTACACATCGGCACATTTGGATCTATATATAGCACATAGTAAGAAAACATAGGTATAATTAAATCTGTATATAGGGTTTAGGTAAGTACACATACAACCCTGTGCATGCTTACGCAGCACGCGGTAATGAACTGGTCCGGAGTTGAGAGTGTGCGTGGAGGCTATACTCCACGGATGCAATGGCAGACATTCGTATATGTACAAACATATCAACCTAATTCATTTCTTTCATACATAATAAACCATGGATAAAAAGGGATGCATATATATATATATATATATATGAGCGCAATGATGCAAACACTATATAGTCTAGTATGCTTACCTATACAAATAGACTAATTAAACGACATAGCAAACGACTAATATGAGTATAAGGATGCATATCTGGATAGTTTATTCTACAATGATATATAGGCTTGCGTATAATATCCTTTAAACAACATACCGATTCCATCATGCCGCGCATGGCTGGGTTCTGCATCATAGCCATTGCGGACTGCATCTGTGCTGGATCTATAAAAAGTACAAATAGAGAGCAGATGTATAAATAGAACAAATAAGACAGATCAGCTTCTGTTATAATTCGCTAGGAACAACTAACCATATACCGAATCCATACGGTAACGGGTTTTATATACAACGGGGGCCACTGAGCTTCAGTTGCTACTTGAAAAATACTTCAAAGGCAACGGAGTATATATTTCTATATATAGAGTATCCGTTAGCCATATTAGGCGTGTCGCCCACATATAGTATAGCCACACCGAGATATAAATAGAACATCAAAATGAGCAGTCCATACCCATAATAGGCATGCCGCCCATTCCTCCCATGGCCGCAAAGGGATTCGCTTGTGCCGCGCCAGCCGTTCCTGACCCAAATGAGGTATTCGTTGTATTTGCAGCCCCTGCACGGTGCGGCATAAACGCATGAGCTATACGTTTTATACCAGACAATTCCGATGACGGGGTACGGTTTCGGCAGAATACAGTACGTATTCACGTGAATTGCGACGCACCGGACCCTTGACCAACAACTTGGCTGTCTCGGGCTATGCGCATGGATCAGAGTTTGTACCGAACATAGTGCTTAATATATATACACTCTCTCGAGTTGAGGAGCAGAACTCAATAGCCCAAACTACGTACGCTATACTTTTGGTGTAGGCGTTTTATGCCACTTGCGATGTAAGCTAACATTGGGGTCTGCCGTCAGAGGGGCAGGACCCAAACCCTGGACGTAGCTGTGCATGCAACACCGGGGTATGTGTATATAGACATAGGGTGTGTGAGCATGCTCAACTCCAGTCAATCACACAATCTCAGGTACAAGTGCGTACACTGACCCTCTAATATCAATGATAAGGAAAAGATGAACCTGGATAACGACGGCTCTGTTTATAATAGGATTCGATATCAAGGATGCATGGGGTCGGATATAGAATATCTCCTCAGGGAGTGTATATAAGCACGAAATATGCATCTACATACGAAGAGACGAGCAGATCATATATATTTATATATATATATGTATACATACATATATATATATATACATATATACATACATACACATATATATATATACATATACATAAAATACATATATACATATAGAATATATATATATATATGTTTGTGTGTTCGCAAGCACCCAATTGACGACTCTATACAACAATACCTGTATTGCTGGCAGGTGTCTGTGCCGTGGGATTGGGTGCCCAGGGATTGGGGGCTGGCTGTGCATTGTCTCCTGTACCTCCGCCATTTGTCCCGCCCCGCGCAAACGCAGCGAACGGATTGGCGTCTGCTTGTTGTTGTGTGGTAGCGTTCATGAGAGGCTCTTGCACTTCGTTGTACATACGCGCGAGAGCCGCTGAACCACCCGGCAGTGATTCTATGTTTGCCATCGCTCTGCGGGAAAGGGGGTGTGTAGGTGGGCGTAAGTAAGTAGGCTACTAGCACTGACATGCATGTGTGTGGATGTATGTATTTCCGTGTGTATGTATATATGAATCGCTGTTGTGTTGTTGCATCCACTAGAGGATCTATAACCTCGTTGTATTTGTGCACAGCGCCGCTAATTCACCAGGATTGATTGTAAAATAGCCAAAGCTTCGCATACATAGCATATGTGACTTACAGCATATATATACATATAAGATTAAAATAATCTACGTGTGTGCAGTAGGCGTTGAACGCACACCTGTCGTTACTCCGCGTCATTTCGTTCCTTAGGTTCGGGTTTCTGATTGTAGCCATCATCTCTCTGTCAGAACAAAAAGGATCGGATCAGAAACGCTATATTTTGATGTCTGTAAATAGAGCGTGCGCGTTTGCATATATGTATACATACATACATATATATATATATATATATATGTGTGTGTGTGTACAAATGAAATACAATTACATATAGATCAAAATAAGAACATATATATCTATATTTAAAAATAGACATATACATATATCATACACACACATACCTACATACACACACATACCTACATACATGCACATATATATGTATCGAGAACTATATCTACAAATACACACACATACACATATATATATTCATATACATATATATACACATACATACACACACGCATATATATAATATAATAATATATGTATGTACATATACATATACCTATATATATATATATATTTGTATATAAATATATGTACACACACACACACATATATATATACATATTTATATATAAATAGACATACATACATACATACACACACACATATATATGTATATAACCAAAAAACGTTCATGCGTTTATGTGGCATAGCTACCGTTGCGAAGTCATACCTAATCATGGCTGGATCGTTGAACATCTGTGCCACTTGTGGGTTAGAGTCCATCAGGGCCCGTATTTGCGGATTGCTGGTCATCACTGTGCGCATTACCTCGGGGTTGTCCATCATGGCCTGGTTAAATGGTGAGATGGGGTATAAGTTGTTAAGATATACGCTGAAGGCATACTCTGGCGTATACATAATTGTAGGGTTTAGGCACGGAAATGGCTCTGAGTCGTTATTCGTAGACGGCTTGTCAAAGCGTTGCACAGCGTATCGGTACATTTAACCATCACCGAATATATTCATAATATACATGTATATGTATAAAATCGATATATATATATATATATATGGTGGGTTGGCATTTCCTCCCCAAATATATACATTCTTGCTTGATACAATAGTGTAAGGATCGAAAACGTAGTTGTTCGTACCCACCAAGCCAGTAATAAGGAATTGTTAGTGAAGACTGTTCACATCATATCCGCATCAACCAATATAACAACGGATATTCACATGTGATCACAGCCAGTACACGTTTGCGTTCTATTGCAGCGCCTGTTATGTATCGTATACAGTATACACCACATGCGGCCCTAGTAAGTACACACCCGTGCTCCATAGACAAACATGCCTGCATCATGGGTGAGTTCATCATCTCATTCATCATCTCCGGATTCTGCATCATCTGCTGCTGTGCCTGTTGCATATCCATTCCTCCCAAGCCTCCCATACCAGGAAGCCCGCCACTTCCCATATTGCCCATATTAGGGAAGCCACCCATGCCCATCCCTGATCCCATACCCCCTGTACCAGCAGGTGTTGGACTTGACTGTGATAGTGAAAAATCGGACACGCAAAAATGGATAAAAATTTATGAGAAATCGGGACAAAACTCCAAATGTACTGGAGAGGCCGTTGTTTCCCAACACAAGGGCCGTTCCACAATAACTATATAGTGCGAGAACGACACACGTGATATGCAGACCACAGCGATATCGATGTGCATATACACTTCTATACATATATAGTATGGCTGTGTAAGTACGTGATGGGGACTGAGACCAATCGTGATCATATAATTACTGTACCGATTAAGCGCAGGAAAATGTTTGATGAATATGCAACACCGTTTAAGGTCCTATATACAAGGCGGTGGAATGAAGATACACACATAGTATCATGTTTTGAACAGAACACATGATTTTGCAAGAGCCGGACAAGAGCGTAGATGACGTCAAACGCTAAACAAACACATATATGTATATGATAGACAACACATACTCAAAATAATCGAATGGGATGAAATTCACACACAAAGTATATGCGGATATATAAGCACATACGGTATAGATATATAGATATATACACCGAAAACACAACAAGTAAAATCCGCGCACACAAGTTATATCGGATAAAAACACCCGATATCATATATCGAATCTGGGCACACAAACACAAACACACACACAAACTTGAAAATTTACAAATATAACATTACATATAAAAATACACATACATGCATATGTATATGAATGTATGTATGTGTATGAATGTATGTATGTATGATGTATATATATATAATATAATATAATACATACATATCTATATCTAAAAATATATCTATCTATTACCGATCTATCTATATATATATATATATATATCTATATCTAGATCTATATCATATATATATATATATATATATAATAAATAAATAAATATGTATATATAAATAAATAAACATATAGTATATAT